TACTGGGGGAACAAACTCAGGACCTTGAACTTGGCAGGCAGGTGCTGGTACCACTGAGTCAAATCCCTGGCCCTGATTTCTAACATTTCAGTTGTTTCTTATTTGTTTGGTTATAAACTATCACTAGCTAAATGGAATTTAAAGTGACAGATGTTAAAGTCATAAATTCCAGTTATTTAATGGTGTAACTTTTCTCCTCTAATTATTTTTATCTAATAAAATGCTCTACTAAATTCCCAGGAGTTAGAGCTATCCATGTACAGAGACTTAGTGGAGAACTTTCTAAGATTTTTTTTTTTTAGCTTTGAAAGATTTTTAGCTGGTACATAACATCTATGTTAGTGCTCTACAAACAAAATACAGTAAAACTACACGTAAATTTGTAAGGGTCAGATGTTCACTAAATTGAAAGATTTTTCTCCCATCAGTGGGAAAATTTTGTTTTTATTTCCTGAAGCATTTTTTACTTAAATTTTTTATTCTAATCTGCATTGCTTTTCCTGTGATTCTACTTTCTCTATGACTGAGTGGTCTAAGGAAGCAGTGACTGCTGTCTTGCACTGTTCCACTTGGTCAGGAATTTAGGAGGGCTTAGCAGCATAGTTTTTTCTCAGGCTGTCTCCAGAAGTTATATCCAGGATGGCAGCCAGGGCTATGACCATCTCTGAACTTCCTTGGGAGAAAGCTGAGTCACTGAAGTGGCTGCCACATTGGTTTTAGCCATGGACAGGAGGCCTTGGTTCCTCACCAGATGGCCTGCTCCATTACTGTTTGAATGTCTCATGATGTGGCTACGCACTTTCTGCAGGGCTCATAATGTTCAGATAGCACAGATAGAAGCTGAGGTGTCTTTTCTGATCGAGTCTTGAAACCACATATTGTCATTTCTGCATTTGTCCTCGTGTACATAGATCAACATAGATCACTCATTATGAAAAGGAATGACACAGGAGGCAAGGATCATGGGAGAACATCTTGGAGGCTGCTTACCACACAACCTGCTAATATTTTTTATATCTTTATATAACTTAAAATATTCAGCTCTGTCTGCCAACTATTTGTGTCCCTCTCCTGTCTCTCTTCCAGATTTATATTTCCCTGCAAGTTTAGATTTTGCTCCTTATCTTACATGTCTAGAAATTTCTAGCACATTGTATTCAACACATGGCAGAGTCATTGAGAAGTTGTGGCCACAGTTTCTCTCTCAATGAGTATAAATGAAGAGGCACATGCAGGGAAAATAACAGATGAACAGAGAAATATATTTTGATGTGGAAAGGGAGAGCATGAAAAATGAGGTAGAACACAGATTAAACTTCATATGCTACTAAGTAAATATAAAAACATTAATGCCATTTTTAGAGATACTAGAAATCTCATTTATCAGGTTTATATGTTTGGAATACTGTGCAATGATATTCTACTTTACGTAATGCATGTGGATTATTTTCCATTTTTGTTTTTATTTCCCTACTCTTTTTTTTTTTTTTTTGGTACTGGGGATCGAACTCGAGACCTTGCGCTTGCAAGGCAAGCAGTGGAACCACTGAGCTAAATCCCCGGCCCCTCATTTTTGTTTTTATATAAACCTCTTCAATTATGCTGACTATTCTGTTAACGAAGGGTCTTTGGATTACTCTTTTAATGAAAACATAGAAATTGCTTACAAATAACTCTTCAGTAATTTCAAGTAAGGCATTTATAATTCTTTGTACATATGATTGAGAACTTTATTTAACCTTTAATTAACTGCTCTATAACCTGGTAAAATCATTTGTAGATTGATCAATTAACATTTATAGATAATTTGAGCAAAGGGCACAGAGGAATGTCAGGAGGAACAAAAGACCCATGAGAAAAAATGTCCTGGAAAGTCCTCTTCAAAAATGTCACCCCCATCCATCTTTTCATTTCCACCCCCATGGTCACCACCACATTGTAGTCCAGTTCTTTAGTAGCTCATGTCTGAATTGCTAAAATGACCTTCCAATAGTTCTCACTACTTGCAGCTTCTTTCCCTCCATACTTTTTTCAGAGGTAAACCTATATTTTAGGTTTACCATAGGATAACCCCCCCCCCATGCTTAAAAACTTCCTTAGTCTGTTGGGCTGTCATAACAAAATACTAGAATTTGGGTAGCTGATAAACAATAGAAATTTATTTCTTATGATTCTGGAGGTTAGGAAGTCCAAGATTCAGGTCCTGGCAGATTTAGAGTCTGATGAGACTCTGCTTCCTGCTTCCTGAAGAGTGCCTTCTCACTGTGTCCTCACATGGTGGAAGGAGCAAGGGAGACTTCTAGGGTGGCTTTCATTAAGGTGCTAATTCCGTTCGTGAGTGTTCCACCCTCAGGACCTAATGCCTCCCCCACTCCACCTCCTACTACTATTACGACTTTGGCAGTAAAGATTTCAACACATGAACTTGGAGAAGACACAAACATTCAGATCTCAGCAGAAACCTTCAGTTGGTCCTGCCATCTAAAGTTATTCCCATTCTGAACCAGAATCTGGTTCAGTTCTCAGGCCTTTTCATCCCTTCTCCCACTCTGTTTCTGATGCATCCCTTCCATCACCCCATCTTATTGTTTATTTCAAGAATTCTTCTCCATGTCTGCTTTCCCTTTACCCAGAACCACTTTTCTTTTCAGTGACCCAGTATCAATCAATCTCCTTTCTTTAAATCCAGCTCAGACTCCCTAGTAGAGCCTTTCTGACTCATTAATTCCCCCTTCTCATAACTTCTGTGCCGCCAAAGTCTGATGACTACATATTTTTCCTCCCAGAAATCTTGTATCCATACCTTATATCCAGATCTTTAAGTCACTGTAGCTGATTGCTATAATTTTGTAAGTTTTTATTTTTCCTTCCTCTACAGGATGGTCTCTCAGCTTTCTTTTATTCTTGTTCCATATGTGAACATTTTTACTGATGTTCTATTCTAATATTTTCTCCAGAATTTCCATGTGTTGAGACCAGATTAGGTATCAATAAAACTTAGTTTGCCTCTGTGCCAAAGCAAAATAGGGAATAATTTTCACAGAGCTTATGTACGAAAAAAGACAGAAAAATATAGCAACTATATTGGGTCACAGAGTGAATAAAACAGGTGTGTACATGTGCATGTAGTAGGGTGACAGGTGAGAAATAGGAAAATGTTATATTTTATAATCTTCAGAAGAAACTCATTGAAAGGGAAAAGATTGAAAGTTTAGAGTAGTTTATGCCTAGTTAAATTAGGGCCCTGGAAGTAGGAATGAAACTATAAAAGGACTTTAGCAGGTCCAGAGAAGGGACACACATTAGGGACCTTTGTTCAGAATAAGCTGACCAATTACTAATAGATCTGTGTGTTAACATTTCAAGGGATGTTTTTTCCACTTTGTGTTGTTTTAGATATTGCCTTAAAATAAGTGGAATTACAGAATTTTGAAAACCTTTTAGTTGCTAAGAAACTATCTTCTATGATATTAATATTTAATATTAATTCTGCTAGTGAAAGGGCTTTTGAAGAGCTTTTATAGCTGCTAAGAATTGGGTATAAATGAACATGTCTATTTTGTATTTTGTTATCATTACACAGGGAATAGACTTATCTAAATTGACTCCAATAACTTTGTTGCTATTAAGATTGCCTTTGGGCTGATCTCAAGTTAATATATTCAATTTTTTCTTTTTGACATAAACATGTGTGCTTCATTTGCCAGCAAAGCCACATGATTTTCAGTAGATTTAGTTTCCTATAAAACACTTTAAGGGGATTCAAAAATTTGTGTATTGGGTTGATTAGTAATCCTCTAATCATAATTTGAGAAACTGAATATTTGAATAAAATGGAGGTGGCAGGAAAGACAGTCTTACAGTAGAAAAGTCCTTGTTGGATGATTTTTATTTCTAAATCTACTTTTCCATTTGCTTGCAAAATGTGACTGACTGTTAAACATGCCTACTTTGGTGCAATCATAAATTATCTTTTAACTTTGAGGAAGTTCAGATGTAATATATCATTAAAATTAAATTCAAGAGACATTTATTTAAAATATTACAATACCTTGTAGTATGGGAATACCAACATAGGCATAGTACCTACTTTTAAAGAGACCATAGTCTATGGGAGAGAAAAAAATGCAACAATATTGTGACACAATAATGGGTCAGTAGAAACAGATAAAATGGATAGGGTAACTTAGGTTAATTGGGGATTGTGAAGCGGGAAACACTTCTAGAAAATGATTATACTTAAGCTAAGTTTTAGACAATTGATAAGTATATTGACATAAAAAATATAAAATTAGGAATGTCAGCATTATACATAGTTCATAGATTACTTCCAATGTTTAGATGCAGGCTTTGTACCTGTTATGGCTTGTGTCTAAATGTCCCCTCAAAGCCTAATGCAGTCATAGATGGGGCTTTTCAGAAGTAGCTGGATCTAGAGTGTGTGATGCTGAGATTAAGTGTGCAAGTGTATGATGCTGCTTTCAAGGGTGTATGATTACTAAATTAGTCCACTGATTGGTTTGGCATAGATATGGGAGTGGATAACAGGAAATCCCTTCCTGGGTGTGAGTGCTACCTGCTGTAATGGTACGTAGAATGGATAGAATATAATGGACAGAAAGAGGACTGCTGTGGTTGCCTGTTGCTTGCTTCTTGTAGCTTTCTGCTTGCTGCTTTTTCTGCTTCCTGCTTGCTAAGTACTGTTTTTGTTCTGTAATGTCCCACTTCCATGCCACCCTGCCTTGGAGCTAGCCAACATGAACTGTAACCTCTACAAACTGTAAGCCAAAATCAACTTTTCCTCCTTTAACTTTGGGTGATGAATATTTTGTCTCAGGAATGAGAAAGTGCCTAAGACAGTATGTATGAGCTCAAGATTAAGCAGCCCAGGCTTTGGCATACAGTGTGCTGTAAGCAGGACTACAGAAATTATTGGAAAGCATACCTTTTTTTTCTATCCTTAACAGTCTAACAGGAAACATCTTTCTTTATCTGTACAGGAGTCCTGTCCTGGTTTTCCAGTGTAATCACCGCCATGTGATTTGCTTAGACTGTTTCCACTTGTACTGTGTAACTAGACTCAATGATCGGCAGTTCGTCCATGACCCTGAGCTTGGCTACTCCCTGCCTTGCGTGGGTAAGTCTAGAACTTTCTTTTATTTTTTCCATTTTAATGCTAATTAAGAACAAAGAAGTACCCCTAACCTAAAACTATCTTAGGGCCAGGGATTTAGCTCAGTGGTTCCGCCACCTACCTCGCAAGCACAAGGTCCTGAGTTTGATCCCTGGTACCAAAACAAACAAACAAACAAACAAAAAGTTAATTCAAAACTATCTTACATATATCTAATTACTAGCCCAGGGATTGGAAATTTAAATTTGGTCATTACTGGGTAAGAAACATTCATGGCTACATAGCAAAAGATAGAAAATATCACAGGATACTATGTTGAACTAGAAAATGTATTCTTTGTATTAAATCCTTGAAAATAAAATTTAAAATATAACTCTGGTAAGGTACAAAATATGCTGTGGATAGACTAAACCTACGAGTTCTGGGTTTGTTACCTGAATTTGCAGCAATTTCATCCAAATTTTAAACTGGCACCCCAACACTAAAAATGTTGTGCATATACTCTGTATGTATGAAAGAACATATTTGAAAAAGAAATTAAGGAAGAATGAGTTAAAGCTAAAGTATTTAAGATTTAATATACTTTTTATTATCTAACATTAAAAAATTTTACTTGTACTGTACTATTATTACAATTATTACATATAGTATTATTATTATTTTTTTTTTTGGAGACAGGGTCTCACTATGTAGTTCATGCTGGCCTTGAACTTACTATGTAGCCCTGGCTGGCCTGAAACTCACAGAGATCCTCCTGCCTTTGCCTCCGATGTGCTGGGGTTACAGGTGCACCACCAAGCCCGGCCTTACATATATTATTTTTCATTGAAGTGAAAATAATAAAACATACAATTTACCAGTTAAAGTGAATGATTCTATGGTATTTGGTTCATTGACAATACTGTACTACCACCACTTCTCTCCAGTTTTAAAATGTTTTTCTTATCTAAGAAGAACAACTCATACTCATGAAGCAATCACTCCCCTTTACCTTTGCCTCAGTAACTGTACATCACTAATCTGCTTTCAGTCTCTATAAGTTATGGATATTATGGATATTTTCTAAACATGGAATCATACAGTGTGTGGCCTTTGTCTGCCTTATTTTATTCAACATAATTTTTGTTTTGAGATTCAGCCATGTTACAGCTTCTGTCAGTACTTTACTCCTTCTTATGGCTAAATAACATTCCATTATAGGGCTTCAACCTAATTTGTTTATCCATTGATCTGTTGATGGGAATTTGTGTTGTTTTGACTATTATAAATAATGCTACTATGAACATTTATGTGCAAGTATCTGTGTGGACATATGTCATTTCTCTAGAAGCAGAATTCTGTGTTTAACCTTTTGAAACATTCATAACTTGTCCACAGCTACAACACCATTATATATTCCACCATCTACGTATGAGGTTTCCTATTCCTTCACCTCCTTGTCAGCACTTGTTATTGTCTTTTTAAAGTAGTCATTTTAGGGAATGTGAAGTAATATCATACAGGGGATTTGATTTTCACTTCTTTAATGACTGGCAATATTGAATATATTCTCATGTGTATATTTTCGATTTATAATCTTCTTTACAGGAATATCTACTCAAATGCTTTTATTATTTTTAAACAGGGTGGTTTGTCTTCTTGTTATTGAGTTGTTAGAATCTTGAAATACTCTGGATACTAGAACTTTATCAGATTTAAGATTTACAAGTATTTCCCCCATTCTACAGGTTGTCTACACTTTTCTGATAATATTCTTTGATAAAAATATAGTTTTGAATTGGGAGGAAGCCAAATTTATTTATTTTTCTTTTATTATTTTGATAAGAAGTATAATAATCTATTGCCATAAACAAAATTGTAGTGATTTATTCCATGTTTTCTTCTAACAGGTTAGCTCTTATATTAGGTCACTGATGTATTTTGAGTTAAATTTTGTTTGGAATATGATAGAAGTTTCTACCTCACTGCATATGTACTTTAATGACTCTGATGCAATTAAATGTGCTTCATTGACTTTCAAAATTTTAGTTTGAAACTATGTTCTACTTCTATTCAGTGGTCAAGTTTAAGTTCAATTTCTTTCCATAGTCAGTTTTAATGTCAATCATAACTACAAAATGTATATCTCAAAATGACACAGATCCCAAAAAACAAGATAGATAATTGTACTGTTGACTTCAAGTCATGACACTTATTTTTCAATAATGTTTAGCAATAATACATTTTTTTTCTTAAGTTTCACATAATATATATGTCACTATATCAAGGAAAACTAACTGAAAGGTATTGTGCTTTTATATTTTTAACAAATCTTTCAAAATCCAGAGAAGCAATCATTTGCAGACAGAAAAACTCTTCTACTCTTTTTAATGAGATAATTTTGTATTGCTAAATTCTTTTCTTCATTAAAGCACATACTACAGAAACATTTCTAAATACTCATTTATAAATCTTCATACTTGACACTTTTTAATAATCAGTTTCAGGTTTCACTTAATTTTAAATGTTGATCTTTTTATCATAGAAAATTTCACACATACAAAAGTAAAGAAATTAAACCCTCTAAAGTTCATTAGCCTGGCTTTGTAACATATTAAGATTTGTAGTATTTTTCTCCTGATTCTTGTCCAATAATGTGGAAGCAGCCACTTTCCCAGAAGTTCTAATTCCCATCCATAGGACTAGCCCTCGGAGGTCACCGTGTACTCATTGTTCCTTCATTGGTCACTGTTTCTAGCCAAGTTGAAAAAAGTAGGAAACATATTTTTTAAGTACAAACTACAATATTTGTTATACTTATATACTTGTTTACTTCAAATTAGGTTTATGGAATTTTCATCAAAACAGTATTGTTGTTGCTTTCTCCCTTGCAAAAAAAACTTATTACTTAGTGATATCAGCAGTTATTCATGTACATTTTTCTTGGCCTCACTTTTTTCTCTCTAAAATTTATGTTGTATTCTAGAGAGCACTTCTAAGTAGTATATAAATATTTTGTCCATTTAAAAATGTAGAATCATTGAATTCCATTGTATAAATATACTTTACTTTCCTGTTATTGTTAGACATTTCATTTTCATTGTTTATTACAAACATTGCTACAACTAATAGAGTTATGTGCACACTTATTTAAATACCTTTTTGAAAATTAATTAATTTTATTTTTAAGTATGTTAACGACATCCTTAGAATATTAGAAACTTAGATTCTTAGAAACTTAGAATGTTTCCCCACATTATATGAAAGGACTTCAAATATTAGGGACTCTGTGTGTGTGTGTGTGTGTGTGTGTGTGTGTGTGTAAAACCTAACTGGATTGTCTTTGTCCTTGCTCAACAGAGACTCTTCATTTATTCCTTGTTTGACATTTATATGTGGTTCTAAGGCTACTGGTTTCATGTACTTCTTAGCCTGTGCCTGAGGCCGATGACATAGTCCAACCAGGGTCACTCCTCAGGGATAATGGTCCCTGCGACCTCAGTTTTGTTGTTTTCTCTTTTTGCTTGTGCAAACAGTATAAGTTCTATCTTCAATTAATGGTTTCTTTGCAGGATTATTAAGTCACTTATCTGTTTTAAAAGACTACCTTAGTTTAAATGAGACAACTTATCCATGATTTTTTTTTAGCCAAGAGTAGGTCATCTGCCGAAGATAATAGACAGGGAGGGCTCAGACTCCTGCTGTCCCATGGTCTGTTACACATGCTCAGTAGACACAGACTAGGGCAGGAGAGGGTCCCAGAATCAGTCTGTATAGGAAGTCTTCATGAAGGTTGTTTTTCTATTTTAAATAATAACTGTATAAATCTAAATATTGCCCCCTAAACCAGTGAGTCATTTTGCACATAAACTAGTGTGTACACAGAGCCTCAGAGAGATCTAGTTCAAATCCTGGCCCTGAATCCTAGTAGCCTTGTAATGTTGGGCATGGGGCTCTAACTTTGGTATGCCTTAGTTTCATTTTAGGTGAAATGAGGATAATACACTAGTAAACTTAATATGTGGCTGCATTACAATAATGACTTTAAAATCCCACTAGGTTAAATGCTGAAAACAGTAATGTTTAGTCTTATTTAAACATATGCATACTTCCATAAAAATTGTATTTAACTTGTATGTGCATATATCTATATCTATGTGTGTATTCACAGAGGAATATATATTTGGACATTCTGTAACTAGGTTGGTGTTTCCTATAATCTTCAAGCAATTACCAAGCATTATTCACTTATACATCTATCTGGCCATCTTAGTTTGAAAAACTTTGCCTTGATCTATCAAACACAGAGCTTCACACATGCAATGAAATGAAAATAAAACGGAAATAGAAAAACAAAGCTTATGAAAGTATAAAAGCAGTATACTATCAGAAACAAGAATTGATTGAATACATATTTTTTCCATGGTACAGTCTTCTCCCATCATGGGGTTAATTAAAAGATTATTTCAATGCCTATGAATCTTATAAATGAAATATGTTATTTCTACATATGATGAGCAAAAATGACCGTTAACTCCACAAAGAAACTCAGAACGCATTGAAGGACAGCCTTATAGAGGTCAGCCCCTCAGGGGCCATCTGTCCCTGGTGGTGCCATCAGGTACAGCAAAGTGCCCAATCCTGCCAGCTATGCCACACACAGGGCCGTTGGATATTTTCTTGAGGCTCCTGGCCAATGTCAGCAGTTCTGACTGTACAAAAGTGACAGGGCCTTGATAGTGAGTCTTGGTGTTGTTTTAGTTTTGGGGATCTTATTTATTTCTCTGAAGAGGGGGTCTAATTCCCTTCCCATCATCACAGTTTAAAATGCCTAGACAAATTGTGTAGGCCCCTATGATGGCGACCAGCAATTTTTGGATTATGGTTCCTTCAAGAAAAATGAAGGAAGATTTAGTCTTCTAGTCAAGGCTATTTTATCCTTACATCTATCAGTTCACTTCAAGGACAAAATTCTTATCTATCCATGAGAACTGGGTTATTCTCGTACCAGAATCTACACTTCA